AGGTCACAGCTGACTAATGGTGATCCTTCAAGGGTTTCCCAAGGCAAGAGATGAATGCTGCTATTGCCTGCCTCTGGTGTCGCAACCCTGGACTTCCTTGGTGGTCTCCCATCCAAGTACCAACCAGAGCCGACCCTGCTTCATTTCCGAGGTTTGATGAGATACAGCCAGCCTGGCCCTTCTTTACCAATGAAAAGGCTGGCAGGGGCAGCAAAGGGACACTCGATTGTAGGACACAGCCTGTCCACAAGGCTGTATGCATATATTTAAATGTGATGTCTTTTACACAGGTTACAAAGTGACATTGTTTTATGTGTTGGTCAATGACTGTGAGTAAAACTCAGGGCTATTTTTGGGCAGGAACGCACAGGAACTGAGTTCCGGCTGGCTCCTGAGTTGGCCACGCCCAGCAGGAACTCATTAGCATAATAGGCCACACCCAACAGCAGAAACTCATTAGGATTGGCTACATTAGGGGTGTGGCCTAACATGCAAAGGAGTTCGTGCTACAAAAAAAGACCCTGGGTTTTGACAACAAACAAGGTAAACAGAATAAGAAGGGAAAGGTGGGTGTGGCTGGATGACCACACTTCTGGTAACATGGGGGTGTGGCCTAATATGCTAATGGGTTTTGCTGTTGGGTGTGGCCTATTATGCTAATGAGTTCCTGCTGGGCTTTTTCTACAAAAAGAGCCCTGGAAAACTTATCTATCTATATTTAAATGGGCAATGAACCTTCTATCAGCCCACACCTACTTCCTCATAGGTATTCATTTTGTAGGTGTATCAAATGAATATCAGGTTTTATCCATAGGGCTGGTAAAATATCAGTTTTCTTGTTTAGATAGCAAATCGAACACTTTTCTACTGTATAATGACTTTGAAAACCCTAGGAATGAGGAAACTACATTTCTGTGCTGTGTACAGATTTGTTTCAGGCCAGTGGGCATTTAGAAAGTAGCAGAGGAGAGGCTAAAAACAACAACAACAAGCTGGGAGAAGCAGGCCAGCCATGATCTGGTTGCCAATCTCCAGGTGGGTCCTGAAGTTCTCTTGGGATGCATTCAGATGGGCCATTTAAGCCGGCATAAACTGCTCCAGTTGGAACCGGAGCAGTTTGATCCGGAAGAAACGCGATCACACTCACCTCCTGACTGCGCAGCACATCGCGATATGCCCGTTCACACTACCGACGCACAGCAGCGCACATCAGTGGGTTTGTGGTTTTTTTACATTTTGCGCATCCACAGAGTTGAGATCTTCGCGCAGGCGCAGAACACCCCGTCCCGAAAAGTGTGCCCTGAAGCGAAGACTTCCCTTTAAACTTTTACAGCGAAAAGGACCTCTGTGAGGTCCCGGACTCATCTGCAGCCTAAAACTAAGCATCTTTTTTTTTTTTACAAACGCCGGGGCGAAGCTTTGCCCAAGCGCACATCGAGGAGGCTTAAAAAAAAAACGGCGGCCGAAAAGCGGAGGCTTCGGGCTTCCGAACGGAAGTGGCCCTACACCGGCGGAGAGCGATCAGACGGGGATAATGCGGTTGGAACCGGAGCACTCAGGATACCACCACTTCGGGACCTAGTAGCAGAACACACCAGTTGAAAGGGTGTTTGTGACGGTTAGGGACGGAAGGCAGATGTTCGCTGTGTGATCGCGCGTAAGTACTCCAATTCTAACCAGCATCTATACCGGCTTAAATGCCCGTCTGAACGCACCCTTGGAGTTACAACTGATCTCCTGACAATAGAAACCAGTTCCCCTGGAGGAAATGGCAACTAGAGAGGGTGGGCTCTGTGCAGCACATCCCAGGTAACCTCCTTCTCTTATCCAAACTATGCCCTTTCCAGGCACCGTGCCCAACTATCCAGGAATTCACCAAGCCAGGGCTGCTACTTCTAGCCACACAACCCTTGAACTTTCACCCAGACTGTAATTCTTTCATATGAACCACTGAAACTGTCATAGAATCATAGAATTACACAGAGTTGGAAGGGTCCCTTACAGGCCATCTAGTCCAACCCTCTGCTCAATGCAGGATCAGCCTAGAGCACGGGTGTTGAACTCATTTGTTATGGGGGCCGGATCTGACATAAATGAGACCTTGTTGGGCCAGGCCATGTGTGTCATAAAATGTAATGCCAGGTAGCGGAGACATAAACTTTATCAAGGACACAAACACAAAGGGTTTTTTTTTTACTTAAAATAAAAACATGCTTAAAACATGAGCACTCTTGCAATATTTTGTTTATTTAACAGTGCCTGATAACTGACACCTCTTGCTCTCAATGATTGCATCAAAATGTCTGTGCTGTTGCAATCTTGAGTATGCTGTTCAGGTGTGTCTCTGTAAGCTGCAAACTTACAATGACGCAGCAGAATTGGAAGAAGAATCAGAAGACAGCCAGTTCCATTGCTGGCCTGATAGAAGCCCTTCGGGGGCTTGATCCGGCCCCCTGGCCTAGAGCATCTCTGACATGTGTTTGTGCAGCCACTGCTTAAAGACTTCAGGTAAGGGGGAACTCACCGTCTCCCTAGACAGCTGATTCCACTGTTGCACAGCTCTCACTGTAAAAATGTTTATCCTAAGATCAAGCTGGTACCTTCCTGCCCTTACTTTCAACACATTATTGTGAGTCCTCTCCTCTGCTGCCAACAGGAACAGCTCCCTGCCCTCCTCTTAGGGACAGTCCTTCAAATACTTGAAGAGAGCAATCAACTTCCTCTTCTCCAGACTAAACATCCTGTACACCTTTTAACTGTGTGAGTCTTAAAAATGTAATAAGCAGTGGGTCACTGGCAATTAATTATAGGCTAGTTATTAAAAATACTGTTCTGTGCTTGTTTACTCAGAAGGTTCATCAAGTCCTGTAGGACTTACTTCCAAGTGAATATGAAGGAGCTAGAAAAGATTCTTAAGTGTAAGGATGTGTCACTGGCGACCAGTGTTCCCTCTAAGCTGAGTTAGTGTGAGCCAGCTCACAGTTTTTTAGCCTCCAGCTCACACATTTTTGTCTTTGCTCAGGAAGGATGGCTCCCGAGCAGATTAATTTATGCAGCAGCCAAATCACCTGCTCACAACTTTAATGCCAGTGGCTCACAAAGTAGAATTTTTGCTCACAAGACTCCACAGCTTAGAGGGAACATTGCTGGCGACCAGGGCTTTTTTTGTAGAAAAAGCCCAGCAGGAACTCATTAGCATAATAGGCCACACCCTGACACCACAGCTCATTAGCATATCAGGCCACATCCTGACACCACAGCTCATTAGCATATTAGGCCGCAGCCCCATGTTGCCAAAAGTGTGGTCATCCAGCCACACCCACCTTTTGCTTCTTATTCTGTTTACCTTGTTTGTTGTCCAAACCCAGGGCCTTTTTTGTAGCAGGAACTCCTTTGCATGTTAGGCCACACACGCCTACTGTAGCCAATCCTAATGAGTTTCAGCTGTTGGGTGTGGCCTATTATGCTAATGAGTTCCTGCTGGGTGTGGCCAACTCAGGAGCCAGCCGGAACTCCATTCCTGAGTGTTCCTGCCCAAAAATAGCCCTGCTGGCGACCAAAGTAATTCATACCACAGTATTCCCCATTACTGTGTAAGTGTGTGAAAGCTGGACAATGAAGAAAGCTGACAGGAAGAAAGTAGATTCATTTGAAATGTGGCATTGGAGGAAAGTTTCACAGATACTGTGAACCAACAAAAAGACAAATGAGTGGGTTCTAGATCAAATCAAGCTCGAACTCTCCCTAGATACTAAAACCATCAAACTGAGGCTGTCGTCTCATAATGTGACTAAAGTACAAGAGTTGCTGGAAAAGACAATAATGCTACGAAAAGTTGTAGTAGGAAAAGAGGAAGACCAACATGAGGTGGATTGACTCAGGCAAGGAAGCCACAAAGGCCCTCAGTTTGCAAGACCTGAGCAATGACAGGACATTTTGGAGGTCCTTAATTCATAGGGTCACCCCACCATAATTTGGAAGCAACTTGGATGGCACAAATATGCATAGCCACCATTGTCTACAAATAATAAGCTTGTAAAGCAATTCTTCATCTTGCTCCTAAGAGAGTTTTGTAAAAACAAGCAAACAAATAAAAAACAACAACACAGACAAACCAGGAATCCAGTTTGGTGTAGCGGTTAGGAGTGCAGACTCTGGGAGAACCGGGCTTGATTCCCCACTTCTCCACATGCAGCTGCTGTTGTGACCTTGGGTCACTCACAAGTTCTCTCAGTGCTGTTCTCTCAAGAGCAGTCCTCGAAAAACTCTCTCAACCCCACTATCTCACAGGGTGTCTGTTATGGGGAGGGGAAGGGAATGAGATCATAAACCGCTCTGAGATTCCTGAGTAAAGGGCAGGGTATAAATCCAATTCTCCTCCTCCTCCTCCTCCTTCCAGTAGCAACAAGGTTTTCATGACAAAAAAGTATAAGCTCTGGTGTGCACACATACTTATTCAGAGACACTTGAAATGGAAGTTGCCAGGTAGGAAGTTGCCAGTCCATACATATAGGAAGAGGGTGAGCAGCAAATTAGCATACAACATAATGAAGTTGTTAGATGCAAGGACCAAACAGGAACAACAATCTTAGGTTCTTGTTTGGGTAGCAAATCGAACACTTTTCAACTGTTTTCACGGTTTTAGAGTATGAACTTTCAACTAGAGAGAAATTAATGGAGTGCATTTGAGCAAATCAGGGGTGCATCCCTTGCCCCCCTCTCCTTCCCCCTCAGGATAAGCAGCCGGGACAGTCTAGCCGCCCTCCCCTCAGTCCAGAGAGAGCAGAACAGACTCGGTTGGGAACTTTCCTTTCGCACCACGGAACCATAGACTCACGGGACCGGGGCTGCGGCGGAGTAGCTGAGCGGCGAACCCTTTAGCAACCAGCGAGGGAGGTGGAGCTCGTTGCTAGGGAGTCCGTCCTCCAAAAGGGCTCGGGCGGGCCGTTTCCGGTCCCTGCCTGTCCCTCCCCCCCCCGACTGTTGGTTCCGCCCGGCTGTGGCGCTCAACGACCGGCGGCCGAGGCAGGCGAGGTTCGGGGGATGCTGCTGGGCCGCCCCGGGGCGGAGAAGACGGAGAAGGCGGCGGTCCGGCGGCTCCTGCGAGCTGGAGGGGCGGCCAGGTCAGCCTGGTGGGCGGGGCAGGTGTCGCCTCGGAGCCGGGAGAGCCGAAATGGAGCCTCCAGGCTTAGGGGCAGTGTACCACAGACGCCAGATGAGCGCGGGAAGCCCTCTGGGTCGGCACTTTCCGCCGTCTGCGGCCTCAGGCAGTCGTTCAACGGGAGGCGACCGTCCCGGGGGGGCCGCCTGGAGTCGGGTTGCCACCTCTGGGGTGGGAAATACCTGGAGGTTTGGGGGCGGAGCTTGGGGAGGGCGGGGTTTGGTGAGGGGAGGGGCCTCCGCAGGGTATAATGCCATAGAGCCCCACCCTCCCCTGGGGAACTAATCTTGGTCCTCTGGAGAGCAGTCATAAGAGTGGGAGATCTCCAGGTGTCACCTGGAGGTTGGCGACCCTAGTCTGGAGTCTGCAAAGTAGAGACTTTGTCACTGAGATGAGGACAGGCCACGCGACCGCTGTCTGTTTCAACACGTGGAGCTGCCTTATGCTGAGACAGACTGACCGACCGTTGTCAGTATCCAGGTGGTCAGTCGTGTTGGTCTGGAGCAGCAGAACACTTTATGTATTTATTTAGATTTGCATCCTGCCCTCCCCGCCATAGCAGGCTCAGGGCAGCTCACATGATAAAAGCACAATAACAATAAATATGTTGTTCAGTCGCACAGTTGAGTCCGACTCTTCGCGACCCCATGGACCAGATCACGCCAGGCCTTCCTGTCTTCCGCCGTCCTCTGAAGTTGGCTCAATTTCATGTTCGTTGCCTCGATGACACTGTCTAACCATCTCATCCTTTGCCGTCCCCTTCTTCTTTGACCTTCAGTCTTTCCCAGCATCAGGGTCTTCTTCTCCAGTGAGGGCTCCCTTCTCATTGGGTGGCCAAAATATCTGAGCTTCAGTTTCATTATCTGGCCTTCCAGGGAACAGTCAGGGTTGATTTCTTTTAGGATTGACTGATTTGATCTCCTTGCAGTCCAAGGGACTCTCAAGAGTCTTCTCCAGCACCATAGTTCAAAAGAATCTATTCTTCGGCGCTCGGCCTTCCTTATGGCCCAACTCTCGCAGCCATACATGACTATAATAAATATAGACATCTATAAAACAATCCTTAGAACATTTCACAGCAATTCATCAGGACCATTTACATTATATTAAAGTGCTAGCAGTTGACTTAGAGTATCGAGATGGTCTCATATATTCTGTAATTTCACTTGATATCAGCACATTGGTCGTTCTCAATTTCGGTTGGCAAGCACAGGCTGTCAGTAATGGGCCAGGCACCAGGCGTCAGTTGTTGCTAATGATGGTAGTCCAGTGGCAGCTTTGAGACCAACAGAGGTTTATTCAAGGTGTGAGCTTTTGTGTGCAAAGCACACTTTTTCAAATACAGCTTGTTATTTAGTTCTGATTTTGCATAGCTTAAAACATCATCATGTTACATGTCAATTTGCTGTCCAGCCTGTCTGTAAGTTTAAACCTTACTTCCCATTCCAATGTATTTGGAAAAAGTGTGCATGCACACAAAAGCTCATACCTCGAATAAACCTTTGCTGGTCTTAAAGGTGCCTGACTGGACTCTGAACGTTGTCAGTATCGTCTCTTGTGACTGGTAGCAGCTCTCCGCTGTCTCCAGCAGAGAATCTTTCAGGTCACCTGAGCCGTTTGACTGGAGATGCCAGAGTCTGAACGTGGGTCTTTCTTTCTGCCTGGAAAATCAACATTCTACCGTACCCCACCCTTAAATAAAGTTAGTTATACTAGGGCTGCCAGCCTCCAGGTGGGACCTGGGGATCCCCTGGAATTCCAACCAGTCTCCAGACTGCAGAGATCTTTTCCCCCTCTGGAGAAAATGGATGCTTCGGGGGGTGGACTCCATGGCATTGTACTCCACTGAGGTCCCTGTCCTCCCCAGGCTCCACCCCCCCCAATCTCTAGGAGTTTATTTATTTATTTATTTATTTACTCGGATTTATACCCCGCCCTCCCTGTCTAGGCAGGCTAAGGGCAGCTAACAACATAAAAACACAGCACAATAAATGCATAAGTATCTAAAACAGTTCCTTAAAACTAACTTACATCCTCCAAAGTGCTAGCCACTAACTTATGGTATTAAAGATGGCCTCATACCCTGTATAGTTCCTATATAAACATTCAGCTAAATGATCATTCTCAGTTTCGGCACAGGCTATCGGTAACAGACCAGGTTTCAGTTATCAATAAGTTGTTTGAGTTGATGTTCAAAGTTGTTAATGTTGACCATGATGGAAATGGTGGTAATGATGGTGGTGGCCAATGTTCCCTCTAAGCTGTGGAGTCTTGTGAGCAAAAATTCTACTTTGTGAGCTACTGGCATTAAAGTTGTGAGTGAGCAATTTGGCTAGTGCATAAATTAGTTTGTTCTGGAGCCCCATCCTTCCTGAGCTAAGACAAAAATGTGTGAGCTGGAGGCTAAAAAACTGAGCTAGCTCACACTAACTCAGCTTAGAGGGAACAATGGTGGTGGCGGCTCCTAGTTAAAGACCTGGCGGTCTGTAAAAGGTCCCGCAGGGCCCTGATCTCCTCCGGGAGCTCATTCCTCCGGGAAAGGAGTTTCCCAACCTGGGGAGGGCAGGGACCTCAGCTGGGAATAATACATCGAGTCCACTTTCCAAAGCAGACATTTTTCTCCAGGGGAACTGATTTCTGTTACCTGGAGATCAGTTGAGGTTTCTGTAAGATCTCCAGGTCCCTCCTGTGGCAGGAAAAGACTGGTGTGTCTGTATAACATTTACTTGTGTTTATTTGTTTCCCTTGTTCTTAGATCCAAAGTAATGAAGAACTGGGGTGTGATCGGTGGGATTGCAGCCGCTCTCGCTGCGAGCATTTATGTCTTGTGGGGTCCCATCACGGAGAGGAAAAAGCGCAGAAAAGGTGAGAGAGCTGGGGGGCGGGGTATGGTTTGGGCACTGTGCCTCCTGACCCCAGACAGAGGGGGTGGAGGCAGGGGCCTCATCTGGCAACTGCCCCATCCTCCCCAAGTCAGTGTTTCTTGGACGCTGGTAGTATTTTTGTTCCACTGTCTTATTCAGAACTGGGAAGAAAAAGCCAGGAATAAAGAAGTGACATTACAATTCGGTGCTGGTATTCTGTGGGGAGGAGACTCTCCCGGTGTGGCATCCAGGCCTGCTGGAGCCTGCTTTCTGCCTCCCCCCCCCCCCCCCCCAGTCCATGGAGACAGCCATGCTGAATTGTGCTTGGTATCTTTCCCGTAGGGCTAGCCCCGGGCTTGCTTAACCTGGGCAACACATGCTTCATGAACTCTTTGCTCCAAAGCTTGTCTGCATGTCCGTCTTTGATCAACTGGCTGGAAGAGTTCACACTTCAGACGGAGGCCAACCAGCCTGCGTCCTCCGGGAACGAGAGTTTGTCCCTGACATTACTCCGGCTCCTGAAAGGTAACATTCCTTTAGTAATAACTGCAGGGGTCGGGTGGCATGAAGCATAAGACACGTCACTTGAGGTGTTCCGTGGGGAAGAATATTTTCGAGGGATAATACTATAATGCCCTTTGCTGTTCTTGGCCTCGGAAGGCTTTTGCAGTAACCCTTGTACGTCAAGAGACCTCAAAGAGCACCATAGTGAACATAAGAACATTAGAGAAGCCATGTTGGATCAGGTCAGTGGCCCATCCAGTCCAACACTCTGTGTCACACAGTGGCCAGAAATACCAGGGGCCCTCAGGAGGTCCGCCAGTGGGGCCAGGACACTAGAAGCCCTCCCACTGTTGCCCCCTCCAAAGCACCAAGAAGACAGAGCATCACTTTCCCCAGTGCCCCTGTAAGCCACCCTGAGCCCACTCGTGGGGAGGGCGGGGTAAAAATGCCTAAATAAATAAATAAATAAAATCTGTACCTTGTGACTAATAGCCACTGATGGACCTCTGCTCCATATGCTTATCTAATTCCCTTTTGAAGCCGTCCATGCTTGTAGCCACCACCACTTCCTGTGTGAGTGAATTCCAAGTGTTTATCACTCTTTGGGTGAAGAAGTACTTCTTTTTATCTGTTCTAACCCGATCACTCAGCAATTTCATGGAGTGCCCACGAGTTCTTGTATTGTGAGAAAAGGAGAAAAGTACCTCTTTCTCTACCTGCTCTTTCCCATGCATAATCTTATAAACCTCAATCATGTCACCCCTCAGTCGTCGTTTCTCCAAGCTAAAGAGCCCTAAGTGCTTTAACCTTTCCTCATAGGGAAAGGTTTAACCTTCTTTAACCTTCTGACAGAACATAACATTAAAATATCAACCACAGGCACTCCAAATGGATCTGTCGAGGATGGGCGAGTGGGCGTCAACGTGGCAAATGGGGTTCAGTGTGGCCAAGTGCAAAGTGATGCACATTGGAGCAAAAAATCCTTACTATAAATTGTCGGGCTCTCCCTTGGACCTTGGTGCGGCGCCCCCAGTGGCCGTGGCGTCGAGGTCTCGAACAGACTCGGGCAGGGGAGATGGCCCTTGGAGCGGCGGGGTCCAAAAAGGGAGAGGGAGTGAGGGGCCTCAGATAGGCAGGAGACAGGGTTAATGTCACCCTTGGAGTCCCTCTGCCAGTGTGCTGTGGACTTCCTTCCCCTCTCTCTGCTGTCTTTCTGTCTCTCTCTGGTCAACGTCCCCGTGCATTCCACAGCGCACTCCTCCTCCCCGGCCCCTTCTCCACCCTGCCTTTTATCTCCCCGCCCCGCTCCCAGGACCACCCATCTGCCCTCCGGCTTGGGCCACGCCCTCCTTTATCTACCTGGACACCAGCGGGGCATCTCCCAGGCGATTGCTGATACGCAGGCGGCGGCTCTGGCAGCCCCTAGGCCGCGCTGCCGCCGCCAATCTACGGCGGTACTCGCTGCTCCGTGTCTGCTTCTGGCCTGTTGGACAAGCAGCCTTCACCCCCTCCTCTTCTGTGGGGTTGCTCTGTGGACCCCAGTCCTGTCTCCTGGCTCAGCTGACATAGCTCGCCGCGGGAGGGGTCCCCGCTCCCGAATCCCTCCCTGGACCGTCAAACTTCGCCCCATCTGGTGAGTCATGCCTAGGGTGTCTTTCGGGGTCTGTCAGGGTCCCCGGGGCCCGTTCTGCACGTCCCGTGACCTCTGGAGCGGGACACAAATAAACGTTGATGGGGTCTAAATAGGCAGAGACTAACCAAGAGAGAGATCTTGGAGTTGTAGTAGATAACTCACTGAAAAACAAATCAGCCAGTATCATAATGCCCCTGTATAAATCAATGGTGCGACCTCATTTGGATTACTGTGTACAGTTCTGGTCACCACACCTCAGAAAGGATATTATAGCATTGGAAAAAGTGTAGAAAAGGGCAACTAGAATGATAAAAGGGTTGGAACACTTTCCCTATGAAGAAAGGTTACACTGCTTGGGGCTCTTTAGCTTGGAGAAACAACGACTGAGGGGTGATAATATGATTAAGGTTTACAAGATTATGCATGGGATAGAGCAGGTTGAGAAAGAAATACTTTTCTCCCTTTCTCACAATACAAGAACTCATGAAACAGCTGAGCAGTCAGGTTAGAACAGATAAAAGGAAGTACTTCTTCACCCAAAGAGTGATGAACACATAGAACTCACTGCCACAGGAGGTGGTGGTGGCTACAAGCATGGACGGCTTCAAAAGGGAATAAACATATGGAGCAGAGGTCCATCAGTGGCTATTAGCCACAAGGTATAGATAGGAACTCTCAGGCTGGGGCAAGTGATGCTCCATATTCTTGGTGCTTGGGGGGGGCAACAGTGGGAGGGCTTCTAGTGTCCTGGCCCCACTGATGGACCTCCTGATGGCACCGGGTATTTTTGGCCACTGTGTGACAGAGTGTTGGACTGGGTGGGCCACTGGCCTGATCCAACATTGGCTTCTCTTATGTTCTTATGACTGATCAAATATTGAAATTCATGATACGTGCTGGTAAGCCTCGGTCTTTGCAGGGAGCTGACCTGCCTACATTTGTCGTCATTGTATTGACTTACTCTGTGTAATCCGCCTTGAGTACCCAAGTGAGAGAGTTGGCGTATAAATGATGTAAATAAATAAGCCCACCCAGTATCTGTAGCGCCAAAGGTGTCCCGTGTTCTGGGATCGACCCCGTGGCACCGGAGTGACCTGAGGGCCATCGGACCTGAGGAGCCGTTCACGATTGGGGAGGGAACACTCCCCTGATGTTTCGTGTTGGATGCTTTCAGCGTTATCCTGTCAAGAGACCACCGACGAGGACATCCTGGATGCAAGCTGCTTGCTGGAGGTCCTGAGGACGTACCGGTGGCAGATCTCCTCTTTTGAAGAACAGGTAGGTACTGAATGAGGAGACATCGCTGCTCAGTTTTTCTGTGCACGGCCCGTGGCACTTGTCAGACACAAGCTGTCGTGGGAGACGCAGACGCCCAAAAATACCAGCTTCTTCACTTCCTTAAAACTCTGAAGGCTTATTTTATTTTATTCCTTACAATGGGATCTTATTCACTTCCCATGACAAACACTGGGTTTGATTCCCCACTCCTCCACTTGCACCTGGCTGGATGACCTTGGGCAAGCCGTAGTTCTTATAAGAGCTGTCCTTGAATAAGAGCAGTTTCTGTCAGCGCTCTCTCAGCCCTGCCTACCTCACAGGGTGTCTGTTGTGGGGAAGGGAAAGGAGTTTGTAAGCCGCTCTGAGACTCCTTTGGGTAGTGAAGGGCGGGGTATAAACCCAATCTCTTCTCTTCTTCTTTTTCCTTACTACGAGCTAGATTCAAGTCTCTTAGCACACACATGAAGCTGCCTTGGTCCATCAAAGTCAGTATTGTTGACTCAGACTGGCAGCGGCTTTCCAGATTCTCAGGCAGAGGTCTTTCATATCACCTACTACCTGATCCTTAACTGGAGATGTTGGGGATTGAACCTGGGACCTTCCGCACACTGAGCAGATGCTCTTCCACTGAGCCACGGCCCCTCCACCAGCTTATTTTATTTATTTATTATTTCAATTTATATACCTCTCCTCCTCCACAGAGCGGCTCACAACAATATTATTAAAACCGAGATAACACAGATGTTGTTGTTCAGTCGCACAGTCGAGTCCGACTCTTCGCGACCCCATGGACCAGCTCCCGCCAGGCCCTCCTATCTTCCGCTGTCCTCTGAGGTTTGCTCAATTTCATGTTCGTTGCATCGATGGCACTGTCTAACCATCTCATCCTTTGCCGTCCCCGTCTTCTTTGACCTTCAATCTTTCCCAGCATCAGGGTCTTCTCCAGTGAGTGCTCCCTTCTCATTTGGTGGCCAAAGTATTTGAGCTTCAGTTTCATTATCTGGCCTTCCAGGGAACAGTCAGGGTTGATTTCTTTGAGGATTGACTGATTTGTTCTTCTTGCAGTCCAAGGGACTCTCAAGAGTCTTCTCCAGCACCATAGTTCAAAAGAATCTATTCTTCGGCGCTCGGCCTTCCTTATAGTCCAACTCTCGCAGCCATACATGACTACTGGGAATACCATTGCTTTGACCATGCGGACTTTTGTTGGCAGGGTGATGTCTCTACTTTTTATCATGCTGTTTAGGTTTGCCATCGCTTTCCTCCCAAGGAGCAGGCGTCTTTTAATTTCATGGCTGCAGTCACAGTCTGTGGTGATCTGGGATCCCAGGAACGTGAAGTCTGTCACTACTTCCACAGCTTCCCCTTCTATTTGCCAAGGAGTGATGGGGCCGGATGCCATGATCTTAGTTTTTTTGATGTTGAGCTTCAAGCCCACTTTTGCGCTCTCCTCTTTTACTCTGAGCAAGAGGCTCTTTAGGTCCTCTTCACTTTCTGCCATTAGAGTGGTATCGTCTGCATATCTGAGGTTGTTGATCTTTTCCCCAGCAATCTTAATTCCCGCTTGTGATTCATCCAGGCCAGCATTGTGCATGATGTACTCTGCATATATATTAAATAAGCAAGGTGACAATATACATCCTTGTTGTACTCCTTTTCCTATGCTGAACCAATCAGTTGTTCCATATCCGGCTCTAACTGTTGCTTCTTGGCCCTTATACAGGTTTCTCAAGAGACATGTGAGGTGGTCTGGTACTCCCATCTCTTTAAGGACCTGCCATAGTTAAGACAGTATAAAATACAGAATATAAAAAGCAAACAACTCATCTAGTCCAACCCCTGCACTCTGCAGGAGCATAGCTGAAAGATAGCCCTACAACATACCCCAAAGATGGTTGTCCAGCCTCTGCTTGAAAACACCCAGCGAAGGAGGCAGTCTGTTCCACTGCTCAACCACTCTTACAGTTAGGAAGTTTCTCCTGATATGTAGCCAGTAGTGACTCCCTTGTAATTTCCACCCATTAGATCTAGTCTTGCAATCTAGAGCAAGAGAGAATAGATCTGCTCCCTCTTCTACATGACAGCCCTTCAAATATTTGAAGACTGCAATCCTGTCCCCTCTAAGCCTTCTCTTTCCCAGGCTAAACATACCCAACTCTTTCAGCCTTTCCTCGTAAGACTTGGATTCCAACCCTGTCACCATCCTGGTTGCCCTCTTCTGGACACGCTCGAGCTTGTCAACTTCCTTCCAAAAATGTGGTGCCCAAAACCCGACACAGTACTCCAGGTGAAGCCTGACTAGAGATGTAAATTTCCGGAAATTTTGAAGCTCGGAAAAAAGCCTGGGGTTTTTTTTGGAAAAAACTGAAATTTTCGGAAAAATTGAAAAAAATGCTACAGCACTTCTTTTTTCTTTTCCAGATTGAAAGTCATTCTGTTACTTTAGGAACATAAAATATGACTATGGACATTTTTGCTTGGCATGAAATTATCACAACTAGCATATTAAAAATATAGTGTATCCAAACAAGTATTACAAACAGAATACCCACCCACATGCAAAAACAAAACTGAAACCTTTTTCTTTTCTTGTGACAATAGCACCTCCTAAAGGAAGAAATGCATCTTGTTCTTGCATTGGAGAGTTCAGTTTGTAACCTAGGACTTGCTTGTCCTCAGTGCACAGAAATTAGATCCATCTGATACCATACATATTTTTAAGAAATGTTTTGGAACATATTTGAACACCTTGTCTTAAAATATTTTATTCATCATGTTAAAACGTTCCATAATCAATTTCCCCCCCTTTTTTCCATTTTTCGGAAAAAAAAACAAAAAAGGGTTCAGGGGAAGAAACCCCTCCCCCCCCCCGATTTTTTCCCAGGCCTTCTCATCTCTAGGCCTGACCATAGCAGAATAGAGCGGAACGACCTCCTCCCGTGATCTGGACACAATGCTTCTGTCAATGCATCCTGAGATTGCATTAGCTTTCTTCGCAGTCACATCGCACTGCAAGCTCATGTTTAGCTTGTGATCAACCGGAATCCTTGAGAGCCAGTTTGGTGTAGTGGTTAAGTGGGCGGACTCTAATCTGGGAGAACCGGGTTTGATTCCCCACTCCTCCACTTGCACCTGCTGATGTGACCTTGGGTCAGTCACAAGCTCTGGCACAGCTGTCCTTGAAAAAGAGCAGTTTGTGTCAGAGCTCTCTCTCTCAGCCCCACCCACCTCACAGGGTGTCTGTTGTGGGGAGGGGAAGGGAAAGGAGTTTGTAAGCCACTCTGAGACTCCAAGTGAAGGGCGGGGTATAAATCCAATCTCTTCTCTTCTTCTTCTTCTCCTCTTCTGGTGAGGAGGTGCCGCAGCTCAGTGGCAGAGCCTGTGCTTGGCATGCAGAAGGGCCCAGGTTCAATCCCCGGCATCTCCAGTTCAAAGGGTCAGGTAACAGGTGATGAATGGTCCTCTCTCTGCCTGAGACCCTGGAGAGCGGCTGCCAGTCTGAGTAGACAATACTGACTTTGAGGGACCAAGGGGAGTCTGATTCAGTGAAAGGCGGTTTCATATGTTCATATGTTTCATATGACAGCCCATGGGCATCACATTGGGGACCCCCGTCATAAGGACTAGTAACATCTACGAAAAGGATACCGGAGTTCTTCAAATTTTGAAAACTTCCCGTAAGCCACCACACGTACACACGCGCGCACGCACGCACACCGGCGTACGCACCCCACAGGTCCCAAGGAGCCTGCTTTTCCAGATTTGCGGACTCCCACTGGCCGCTTCTTTCTGCAGGATGCTCACGAGCTGTTCCATGTCTTCACCTCGTCCCTGGAAGATGAGCGAGATCGCCAGCCACGGGTCACGACTCTGTTCGACGTGCACTCACTGGAGGTGAGGGTTTGAGCAGCCACAGGGTGGGCGGGTGCTCCGGGATCCAGAGGAGGGCGAACTGGCGCAGACACCCAGTGGAACGTGGAGCTGGACCGGTCCCCGGAGGCTGTTGGGTTCAGTCCTCTGACTGAGGACCGGACCTTCCACCCCACGTCCCTGGGACCGCCCTGCACTGCTGAGGGTGGGTGCTGTGGAGCTTGGCCGCCAATGACTCCTGCAAGTGAGCCTAGAGCTGTGGTGGGTTGGGTATTGCCAGATGAGTGTGTGTGTGTGTGTGGGGGTGTCACAGGCCTGGCAGGATGGGGCATGGTAAGACGTTGCAGCCAGTGAGAATTGCTCTGGGGCGGCCAGATCGGACTTTTCCACACACGGAATGGTTTGTCAGAAATGTAACAAAATATATACAGATGTGTGCTAGATACCCATAGAACAATACAATAACCAAAGAGACTATCTTAAAACCATAACATCATTTAGTGTCGGGCAATTAAAAAACACCACTTGTTCCTTCACAGAAAAATTACAAAGGTCAATAACATTACACATAGCCGTCTGCTCCAGACTCTCAAAATCTATATCCCTCTAACAGTCTTGTATTTTCAAAGGCAGTCTGCTCCAAATTCAATCAGTCAACTCTTGTGCCGGATATTAAGTGTTTCAGACCTCTGGTCTTTCCTCAGGAACAAATCCTATATAGGAATCTCACATTCCATGTAACTTTCAAGCTGACACTTTCATTGATTTGCTTTTCTGTTAATCTACTTGGGCAAGGTCTCCTCACTTATTTCAAAACATGCTAGTGCTGCTGCCAAAGTCAAATGGACCCAAACTATGCCTATTCTGCAAAATACAAGACTGTTAGAGGGATATAGACTTTGAGAGTGCAGCAGACGGCTATGTGAATGTTATTGACCATTGTAATTTTTCTGTGAAGGAATAAGTGGTGGTTTTTTTCATTGCCTGTCACTAAATGATGTTATGGTTTTAAGATAGTCTCTTTGGTTATTGTATTGTTCTACGAGCATCTAGCACACATCTGTATATATATTTTTCATTTCTAACTGTCTTGCGACTGTGTGTTATTTCTGTGGACCCTGAATGGTTTGCCAAAGTGTCTTACAGAGGGGCAGGTGGGAATGTCCCTTTTCTTGTGAAGAGCCCCGGTCAGAGAGATGGAATCAGCTTGCAGTTTGCCAGCTGCTGGAGCCCCAGCACCCCTTCTATGGGCCCAGATGGACGCCCCCCATCTTAGCCTATACATACGGTCTCATGAACAACAAAGAAATGTTCTATTTCTGGAAGGACTGAAACATACCACATTTGGTGTACCAGTCTGGTGTAGTGGTTAAGTGTGCGGAGTCTAATCTGGGAGAACCGGGTTTGATTCTTCACGCCTCCACTTGCAGCTGCTGGATGACCTTGGGCAAGCCGTAGTTCTGACAAGAGCTGTCCTTGAAAGGGCAGTTTCTCTCAGAGCTCTCTCAGCCCCACCTACCTCACAGGGTGTCTGTTGTGGGGAGGGGCAAGGAAAGGAGATTGTAAGCTGATCTGAGACTCCGAGTGAAGGGCGGGGTAGAAATCCAATCTCCTCCTCCTCCTCCTCCTCATCCTCATTGAGGCTTGCAGCTAGTCCAGAGCTTTGGGCCTCATAATTCTGCTCAGGGCCAGTTTCTGCAGAGTTTTGCAGAGCTGTATCACATCATGTTGCAGGCTTGCCTGCTCCCCCCCCCCCCAAAAGTTAGCAGAAAGGCAGGTTTAGTCTGGTCTTTTTGTTGACGTTCTTTTTCTGTGACTGGCAAAGGGTTTTTCCCCCCATGGAGGGGCAGCATTCAGACTTGCGACTCTCTAAACTCACCTGTAGCGGGGGCTGCCATATGACTGTGCCCTATGTCTAAACTGACCCTCATGGTTTTAGCTGCTTAATGATCAGGGGTTTTCCAGTGGTCTTTTTGTCCGGATGATCTGACAGAGGATGGCTGGTGAGGGGTTGGAGCACCTTCCCTGTGAGTGAAGGCTGAAGAGTCTCTGGGACTTCTCAGTTTAGAAAAGAGAGGACTAAGGGGGGGGGGGGAGACATGATAGAGGTTCATAAAATTATTCGTGGTGTGGAGAGGGTTGACAGAGAGAAATTGTTCTCATTATCCCACGATACTAGAACTGGAGGGTATCCAATGAAGCTGATGGGCAGTAGGTTCAGGACGGACACAAGGAAATACTACTTTATACTGACTGTGATTAAAATGTGGGATTTGATGCCAGAGGATGGAGTGAGGGCCACTGGAATAAACAGCTTTCAAAGGGAATTGGTTAGATTCATGGAGGATGAGTCTATGAATGGCTGCTAGCCATGGTGACTGAAGGGAACCTCCATATTCAGAGGCAGTCATCCCCTGAATCCCAGAGCCAGGGGGCGACATCAGGGGAGGCCGCAGCCTCTCTGTGCCCTGTGGTTGGCCATCCAGAGGAACTGGTGGGCCACTGTGTGAGACAGGATGCTGGGCTAGATGGACCGCTGGTCTGCTACAGCAGGGGTCCTCTTATGTTCTTTTGAGACATTGCATAGAGTGTCCAATTACTATCCAGGATCTTTTGATCCTCTTTCATTTCAGGGGTAGGGTTCCTTGTTCCAAAGATTATCTGCAGAAAATTAAGAACAGGGCATTTAAGCTGTGCTTGGAAATCTGGCTTCCCCTCCTTCCCCGGGTGTTTTTTGTTTGTTTTTTGAGAATGTTAAAACCTCTAAAACTATCCGTGTAAACAAACAGGAAACAGTTTTATCTGTAACATGATTTCTAAAATGTATTTTTTGTGTGTGTCTGTGCAGCAGCCAGAAATCCCTCACAAGCAAATACGTTGCAGAATGAGAGGTAAGAACAGTTTGCTTTCTTGGGAAGACACGAAGGGTCACTGCGGTGTCAGCCATTCGCCTGTCTGATCTAAAAACCCATTTCCTGAGAAATGCCTTTTGGCTGTGGGCAGGTTCCATTCCTCTTCCACTTAAAAAAATATATATCTCACCCTTCCTTCGAGAAGCTTAGGAGACTGCACTTGATCCTTCTCTCCTCCTTTTTACCCTCACTGCAACCCTGCGAGGTAGATAAGGCTGGGAACAAATGATTGGCCCCAAGGTTACCTGGTTCTGAGGTGGGATCCTGTCTCTGTTTATGCCTTCCGGAGGCTACAGGTGTGGACAATCCCCCCTTCTCTGCAGTGGCTGCAGTCCCCGACGCCCTTTCCCACTGCCTGTCCTGAGAGGGGCTGACCAGCCAAAATGGAAGAGGCAGCCCCCTTCACTTCCTCCTACCACTCCCGAGTCCAGCTAGCGGGAACACGGCTCGCTGAGGTGTTTTGCGAATGTCAAACCTGCATGAGGGTTGCATTGTAGCACTGTCAGATCATCTTATGTAGCGCCAAGCAGTGAAATGGACTCCCGTGTTACATTTTTGCAGAGTCACCTCATTCCGTGTCAAATCACTGGAAGCTGCAGCATCCTTTCCACGGGAGGCTGACCAGCAACATGGTTTGCAAACACTGTCGGCATCAGGTATGGGTGGGCAGGCAGGCAGAGGGTGGGCATCAGGTATGGGTGGGCAGGCAGGCAGAGGGTGGGCGGGTGGTCTTGGTGGGGCTGTTGGTGACCGGCTGTGAAACTGGGGTGTGTGTGTGGAGGGGGGAAGATGGGGCCAAAGAGAGACTGAGTTGGTTTCTGACATCACCGTGAGGATGGGACTGTGGCATCCAAGGCTCTTCTGGAGCCAGGAGGGGAAGGGGGAGCGCGTTCCTGGCTGCAAGGGGGGGGGGAGAAGTAATGCTGAGGGGCACCCCTGCTGCAGGGGTGTGGGGGTTATTCTTAAGTTTTTACATTAAAATTTCCCCCGTATATAGTAAGATACCACTGCAAGGAGAGCATTAGGTGGAAAATATTGCATGAGCCTGGTTTATTTCATGCAGACAGGTTTTTAAGCCCAGGGGGAATCCTTCAAAAACTATCCCCACACATCCCTCTCCCACTCAGCTCAAAGTGGTTCAGCCCAGACTCCTACCCCATTAGTCTGCACTGTACGTTGCTTTACTTCCAAGATCGGCAGAGCTGCAAAACTGAGTGAGTGGAAGGGGCTGGGTGCCACGTGATGGACACCGCATGCGGATGCTGCCCTTTGTATGAAACACACACAAGTCCTTCCACTAGAAAATTAGCATCTCAGGGTTCTAGCCTGGTGCTCTGCCCGCTGTTCTGGCTGTCTGTCCATAGGGAGCTTTTCATGCAGGGGCATATTCAAAACTGACCACCACCACCACCACCACCTGGATTCTGAAGTGATGCTCTCCATTGCGGTACCCATTCCGTTTCATGTGCAAGGAGGGATTTGAACCCAGGCCCCAGACCGCCATCGTGTATGCAGAGCAGATGTGTGCAGCCTACCTACAACGGGGCGAAGCTGGCCTTGGAAATGGTTTCCACCCAGTCCCGAAGGCTGTGGTCATGAGGCCACTGCAAATTTTACCTTTGGTAGAAGTGTGCATGCTTTCTGTTTCAGAGTCCCGTCAGATACGACACTTTTGACAGCCTTTCCCTGAGCATCCCTGCCACAAAGTGGGTAAGTCCTCGCTCTCCCCTAGGCAGTTGGCTTCACAGAGGAAGAAGCTGCCATTTTTAATGAAGAAGGTGCTCCAGGGCTCTTTTTGTAGCAGGAACTCCTTTGTATATTAGGTGACACCCCCCCTTATGTAATCAATCCTCCAAGAGCTTACAGAGCTCTTCTTACAGGGGCTACTGTAAGCTCTTGGAGGATTGGCTACATTAGGGGTGTGTCGCCCAGGGCTCTTTTTGTAGCAGGAGCTCCTTTGCATATTAGGTGACACGCCCCCTAATGTAGCCAATCCTCCAAGAGCTTACAGAGCTCTTCTTACAGAGGCTACTGTAAGCTCTTGGAGGATTGGCTACATTAGGGGTGTGTCCAACCCTCTGCCTACTCTTCCTTCCCTCGGACGCAGGGCCACCCCATGACACTGGACCACTGCCTCCACCATTTCATCTCTTCTGAGTCGGTCAAGGACGTCGTCTGCAACAACTGCACCAAAGTAGGTGGTTCCGATTTCTGCTTCTTGGGGTCGCACGGGCGCATCGTCCGCACGGTGTGGATCTGCTGTTCCGTAACGTGTCGGAAGGGCAGGGAGGCGGCGTAGCCCAGCCCGACCTCGTCAGATCTCGGAAGCTAAGCAGGGTCGACCCTCGGGGGAGACAACCATCAAGAAAGATTCTGCAGAGGAAGAAGGATTCTGCGTCTGCAGGGGAAGGCCGTGGCCAACCACCTCTGTGTCTCACTTGCCCTGAGAGCCCCCTTGCTGGATCACCACAAGTTCTCTGTGACTTGACAGATCTTTACACACACACAAACGTTACTTGATGGAGAGGGAAGGCAGCACGGTATATAAATTGAATTTAATAAATAATAAATCTCAGAAGCAAAGCAGGGTTGGTACATAGAAGGGAAACCACCGAGGAAGACTCTGCAGAGGAAGGCCATGGCCAACCATCTCTGTGCCTCACTTGCCTTGAAAGCCCCTTGCCGGGGTCGCCACAAGTGGGCTGTGACTTATTTAATTGATATTTTATTAAGTATATATATATATGTATCCAGATATTTTTCTGCATATCTTAACACTTCATTTTTCATATTCTCCTCTTTCTAAGAATCAAATCAAACATTGAAAGCATATAAGTACTCTCTATCCTCGTTATCTTATTCCCTTTCTGTACCCACTTGCCCAAACCGCCGTGCAACTTCCTCTGATTCATGATCTAAAGTTTCTGTCAGAGTTCTCTCAGCCCCACCTACCTCCCAGGGTGTCTGTTGTGGGGAGGGGAGGGGAAAGGAGTTTGTAAGCCACTCTGAGACTCCCTTGGGTAGTGAAGGGTAGGGTATACATCCAATCTCTTCTTCTTCTTCCCCTTTATTATTCCCCCCTTCACACGAGTGACCAATTGAAAGAAAAAAACATTATTATATCTGCCGCCATAAGCATACTCTATGGAGTTTTACAAATACATCATTACTGGAGCCCCCTTCTCTCACCCATCTGATATACCTAAACCCTTTCTTCCTTATCTCCAGCGCCTTATCTCCCCATGTCGTTTCCTGTTTTAATATCAGTAAAATATCTGATTGAATCCATTTCATATAGGTACCAATTCCACCTTTCCAAAGTCCATTTTAGTGCCTCTTTCCATCCATATGCTATTACTACAAGAGCCGCTAGAATCATAGCTTTAAATAAATCCTTTTTGGATCCATCTACTTTATTGTTTCCCAGAATTCCCATAAATAACACTTTCTCATGCAACTCAATCCTAACATTACATAAATTATCAACCTTTTCCAGGATCAGTTGCCAAAATTCCATTGCCTTAGAACATTCCCACCAAAGATGTGCATAATGAAGAAGAAGAAGAAGAAATTGGATTTATACCCCGCCCTTCACTACCCAAAGGTGTCTCAGAGCGGCTTACAAACTCCTTTCCCTTCCCCTCCCCACAACAGACACCCTGTGAGGTAGGTGGGGCTGAGAGAGCTCTTGACAGAAACTGCTCTTTTTCAAGGACAGCTCTTATCAGGACTACGGCTTGCCCAAGGTCATCCAGCAGCTGCATGTGGAGGAGTGGGGAATCAAACCCGGTTCTCCCAGATTAGAGTCCGCACACTTAACCACTACACCAAACTGGCCCTCTTACCCTTTTACAGTGCCAACACTCTGATTTCATTCCCTTAATCATATAAGATAACTGAGCAGGTGTCCTATACCATTTTCAAGATTAGTTTCATTTCCAGTTCTTTGAATTTTTCCAGTTTTATTTCCAATAATCCCTTCATCAGTCTATTTACCTCCTGTACTGATAGGGTCACCTCTTTCTCCCATTCACCTCTTTCTCCCATTACTTGGTAGCACTTTACACACATACGCAGTGTGTTGGAGAGGCCATTCTTTTCCCTGTCACTCAGGAGTTTTCATCCTGTTCTGCTGGCAATCTTGGAAGCAACGCCGCTTCAAGGGTTTTTGCCACTGTAGGCCAGGTGGGTCGTTGTGGTGTTGCAGAACATTCTGGGTCTTGCCCTTTTCTTGTCGCAGGGAGATCTCCAGCCTGGAAGTGCTGCGTGAGAAGTGAGCTTGCAAGCTGCTCCTGGCACAGCAGGGGGCACACTGACATCAGGCTGCCCTGGGCAAGTCATCTAGTCCTTTTTTTACATGGTTAGAAGGTGAAGTTCCGAGCTGTTCTTCTCTTCCCTCCCCAACAGTGCAGTCCTTTTTGACTGGCAGTTCTGGGAGCCAATGAGATTACTTCTCTGTCTTCCTCCTCTCCAGATCTGTCGGTCTGCCTGGCATGGTAGTGCATAGACCTTTCTTTCGTTACACCAGTTTGGTGTAGTGGTTAAGTGTGCGGACTCTAATCTGGGAGAACCAGGTTTGATTTCCCCACTCCTCCACATGCAGCTGCTGGCGTGACCTTGGGTCAGTCACGAGTTCTCTCAGAGCTGTTCTCTCGAGGGCTGTTCTCGAGAGAGCTCTCTCAGCCCCGCCGACCTCACAGGGTGTCTGTTGTTGGGAGGGGGAGGAGATTGTAAGCCGTTCCAAGACGCCTTTGGGTAGTGAAGTGCAGGGTATAAAGAGAAGAGGAGAAGAGGCTGGATTTATACCCTGCCCTTCACTACCCGAAGGTGTCTCAGAGCGGCTTACAAACTCCTTTCCCTTCCCCTCCCCACAACAGACACCCTGTGAGGCAGGTGGGGCTGAGAGAGCTCTGACAGAAACGGCTCTTTTTCAAGGAACAGCTGTGCCAGAACTGTGGCTTGCCCCAAGGTCATCCAGCAGGTGCAAGTGGAGGAGTGGGGAATCAAACCTGGTTCTCCCAGATTAGAGTCCGTGCACTTAACCATGACACCAAACTGGCTCTCTCAGATAAATCCGATCTCCTCCTCCTCCTCCCTCTTCCTCCCTTGTTCCACCTCAGGCAGGGCTCTTTTTGTAGCAGGACCTCCTTTGCCTATTAGGCCACACCCCCTAATGTAGCCAATCCCCCAAGAGCTTACAGAGCTCTTCTTACAGGAGCTACTGTAAGCTCTTGGAGGATTGGCTACATTAGGGGTGGAACCTTGGACGTCTTCATGCAGAAGCAGTTCCCCGGTGCCTGTGGCAGCCGTTGGGTCAGCAGGAGGCCTTCTTCCAGCCCTCTTGTCAGTATTGCCATTTTGCTCCCCCTCCAACAGGATGAGTCCAGCTGACGGGCGATCGATCGAAGAGGTTGGTGTCACGGTGGAGAAGGCCTCCGGAGGGGGCTGTGAGTCTCTGTGAGAACCGATAACTCCCACAGTTGTGCGGAGGCCTCTCCCTGCACGGAGGCTTTATTAGAGCCGCATATGAACCAGGCCATACCTGGGGAGGTTTGCCATGACAGCATCCAAGAATCAATCAAAACGGACTGCATGTCTCTGGATACAGCTGTCATTGTGAAGTCTGCGTTGCCCGGTGTCACTGGGCGCAATTCTGTCTTCCCAGGTTCAGGCACAGGAGACGGCGAGCGGGCACGTCCTAGAGAACCAGAGAACCACCTTTGTGAAGCAGCTGAAACTGGGGAAGGTAAGACTCTGTTCTTAGCCGCACCCGTTAGGGGTTGCTTGTGGGGACTAAGCGGTGAGCCAGAGGGGTCGCATCCTGCCTTTGACCAGGGTGCTTTTCATAGAATCATAGAGTTGGAAGGGGCCATACAGACCGTCTAGTCCAACCCCCTGCCCAATGCGGGACCAGCCTAAAGCATCTCTGACAAATATTCATTCCAGCCTCTTCATGAAAGCTGTCAGGGAAGGGGAGCTCACCTCCTCCCTAGGCAGCTGATTCCACCTTTGAACCACCCTGACCGTGAAAAAGTGTTTCCTAATACCCAGCCGATACCTTTCTGCATGCAGTTTAAACTCGTTGCTTCGGGTCCTGTCCTCTGCTGCCAACTGGAACAGCTTCTTGCCCTCCTCCAAATGACAGCCTTTCAAAATTTTACAGAGAGCAATCAGGTCCAGTGTTCCCTCTAAGCTGAGTTAGTGTGAGTTAGTTCACAGTTTTTTTTAGCTTCCAGCTCACACATTTTTGTCTCTGCTCAGGAATAATGACTCCAGAGCAAACTAATTTCTGCAGTAGCTAAAATCCTGGCTCACAGCGTTAATGCCAGTAGCTCACAAAGTAGAATCTTTGCTCACGAAACTCCACTGCTTAGAGGGAGCACTGATCAGGTCCCCCCTCAGTCTCCTCCAGACGAAACATTCCCAAGGCCCTCAAGCCTTTCCTCGTAGGGCTCAGTCTCCAGACCCCCGATCATCCTCGTCGCTCTCCTCTGCACCCTCTTAATTTTGCCCACATCCTTTTTGAAGTGAGGCCTCTAGAACTGCACACAGGCCTGATCTTGGCATCCATAGCAAGAGACCAGGGAAGATGTTTTTGCTTGTGACGGTGATTCCAGGGCCCAACCGCAGGTGTGGCCACAGTGGCCATGTGAGGACTGGGGGGGGGGGGAGGGGAGGGGCGGGGGGGGGGGAGGAGATGAGCTGTGTGCGTCCCATCCTGTCTTCCTGGGAGGCAGGGTAGGACAAAAATGCACTGGAGGGGGGGGGGATTGGATCTAGATGGCTTAAAACCAAGCACCGTTGGCTTTATTCAGAGAATGGGCCACGGGAGAATAAAAGTCAGGCGTGCATTACAGACCTATCTATCCAGTGGTGTTACAGAATCCCAGAATTTAGCTTTTCGGGCTGCAGAATTCTACTTCATAGGTCATAAAAGATCTAGCTCCTGCCATGTGATGCAGAGTCCCCACCCAGTCCACAACGTCTCCTTTTTTCCTGAGGTTACCTTGCCGACCCTTGCAGATCTCAGTGACTCAGAATTCCTGTCAAGCAGCTGGTTGCCACAGACCAAAACTCCTTTAGGGGTCATGTCCAACACGTGGGCTGCAGGTCAACTTTATATTGTAGCAACACACAGGAAACATGGCAAGGTTGAGTACACGTGGGGAAACACCGTGTTAAAACAAAACACACAATTCTGATATGCTACGATGCCTTCATATATTTGTTTAAATCATATACCTAAATATAAAGACCCTAGTGTGTCCTATTAATTATAGTACATTGATAACAAAAACCTAAAGAACAATATATATCTTGTAGAAAAGTCCATTCAGAAAGCAAGATAGTCTACAGCATTGAATCCTGTCTGCATATTAGTCTCTGTAGCTGTGGACTTTCCTACAAGATATATATTGTTCTTTAGGTTTTTGTTATCAATGTACTGTACTTAATAAGACACACTTGAGTCTTTATTGTATATTTAAGTATATGATTTATACAAATATATGAAGGCACAGTATCAGAATTGTGTGTTTTGTTTTAACACAGTGTTTTCCCACGTTTACTCAACTTTATATTGTAACAGGACTGGTGGAGATGTAGAGAGACTCATGCACAACACTGAGATTGAGTTTCCTGTGTGCAAGGCGTTTGTCAAATAAACAGTGTGATAAAATATGAGCAAGGAGGCGTTACAGAGACAGCAAAATAAGGCAGATCATACAGAAAGCTTGTATCTATCTTTAGCCGCTTCAGCCAAAAACCTAGCAACCAGAGCTGTGATGTCTGGGTTTGTGTCATTTAATAGACTTTGGATCATACTGTCATCGTTAACACAATGTTTAGGGTATAGCAGAGAGGAAAGGAGTTTCTTAGGTGAACCTGCATGCAATTGACATTCCGAGATAATGTGATGAATTGAATCTGTCGATTTTAGAGGACAGATGCATTGCCTTTCATGGAATGGGACTTTGTTATACCGACCAGTTAATATTTTTGAGGGGAAACTATTTAGTCAGGCCAGTGTAAAAGCTTTACGATGAGAAGGGTGATCAAGGTTGTAAAAGTAGCTGGCCATTTTCCCCTTGCTGGATGGAGAGGATTAGTTTGGCCTGGGACACAAGGCGTTTGTCCATCATTCAGTTGCGTGGGCTTCCATTAGCAGGCTGGGGTCAGGACAGTCCAGAAAATGTCTGTCCCTCTTCAACTGCTCATGAGAAGCAGGCCACAGACAGGCCCATACGGTGGTCTTCTAGGTTGCCCTCTTCTTGCTTCTGGGAATAGGCCGCCCTGCTCTGAACAGCCCTTTTTCTCCTCCTTGTCCTCCGCCACGGCGTGGTGGCGTCTTGCTCTGCAGCTGCCGCAGTGCCTCTGCATCCACCTGCAGAGGCTGAGCTGGTCCAGCCACGGCATGCCCCTCAAGCGGAACGAGCACGTGCAGTTCAGCGAGTTTCTCGTCATGGACATCTACAAGCACCGCTTCCCCGCACATAAGCCGAACCTGAGGAACCAGCAAGAGGCGTCACCTGACGGAAAGTATCCAGGTATGGGGGAGAAATGATGCAAAAACGGAATGAGGAATGCACAAGTTGATATCCAGCGCCAGTCCCGCTGATGAGCATGCTGTGCCCATCTGAGTTGTTCTGTCCATGCACGAGTTTTGTATGACCGGGGGGCAATGCACCCTGTAAGCTGTGGAGTCTTGCGAGCAAAAATTCTACTTTGTGAGCTACCGGCATTAAAGTTGTGAGTCAGCGATTTGGCTGCTGCATAAATTAGTTTGCTCTGGAGCCATCCTGCCTGAGCGAAGACAAAAATGTGTGAGCCGGAGGCTAAAAAACTGTGAGCCAGCTCACACTAACTCAGCTTAGAGGGAACACTGCCAGGGGGTGGGGTGCAGGGAAGGGAGTAGGATTCTTGAAGGCCTCCAGGTAACCTTTGAAGCAGCCTTGCAGATAACTCAATGGAACGTTTGAGTCCCCTCCTCTGCCTCCAAAGAAAAAAGGGCAGGGGTCATTTCCTGCAGGAGCACACAGGAGCGGAGCTCCGGCAGTAAAGAGCCCGGGGGGCGGGCACATGCAACAAGCCCCACCCCCTGCTCCCAGCAGCCCTCAGTCAGAGCAAGAAGCAGCCAGGGAAGCCGCAGAGCTCGCCCTGGCCCCCCCGGCCCAAAACAGTCCAGTGGCACCTTTAAGACCAAGTTTTATTCAGGTACCAGCTCTCCCTCCTCTATGAGGATAGATCTGCACGTGTCCCCCCCCCCCAACAGCTAGCAATCCCAAACAGTCCAGTAGAGCCTGAGCGGTGGGTGTTGCCTTCTGACACACTCCCGGTGATGTCGGGGTGTGGCATATGTAAATAAGTTATGCCAATGAGCTCCTGCACCTCTTTTTCTACGAAATGACCCCTGAAAAAGGGCACCAGCTTTTGTAGTCCTTCCCTATCTGGTCCCCTGGAAACAACTTCCCCTCCCCATGGATGGGGGCCAGGCGAGGACTGTTCAGTTGAAGAGGAATGCTGCTCCTAATGCACAGTTAAGTTCAGTGTTTTAATTGTGTTGCTTCTCTTGCAGATGTGGAACAGCTGGATGGCAATAAACCTTCAGTCATGAATGGAACCTGCTCCCCATCGTTGCTGACGTCCCCCATAATGTTTCCTTTCACGGCAGTTTCTGACTACGGGTAAGCCAGGCACTAGCACGTATTCATTTGCATGCAGTTTTCTTGAAAGAATATGTAAGACAGCTAGAATTCCTCGTGGCTTACGCGTGCATAAGATCCCTACTTTTTTCACTGAATCAGGTGAATTCAAAAAGAAATGGACTGCCGTTCTGAACAAATGCTCTCTAGATCTGATGCTTTTAATTATAGAGAAATCTTTGTCAGAATTGGAAAATTTAGATCAGCATATAACAGAACTTGAACTAGATATTAAGAAAAATTTGCAGGACTTGAAAGAACATGATGAGAAAATGCAAAACTTAAAGGGACAGATAGCAGATTTAGAAAGGCAGATCTGGGAAGCCAAAATTTAGAAATTTCAGTGTGAATGTAAGGATTACGAAACTGGGTACGTTTACAGGTGGAATTCTCAAAATAAAGGACACAGAAAACAAGTGTCCTGGTCAGATAAAAGCTCTTCAAACATTGAGAATGAAGCGTCAGAGGAAAGTGACCAGGAAGGCGGGGTGGGGCTGAGTCATTATCATGTAGGAGTCCCCCAGGCTGTGAAACATGCTAATGGAGGAGCTTTCCTGAAGAGGTTCTTTTGTATATGGATTGGCTGCTGAAATTCTCCATTAGCATGTTTCACAGCCTGGGGAACTCCTAAGAACATAAGAGAAGCCAATGTTGGGTCAGGCCAATGGCCCATCCAGTCCAACACTCTGTCACACGGTGGCCAAAAATAAAAGGGGCCATCAGGAGGACCACCAGTGGGGCCAGTACACTAGAAGCCCTCCCACTGTTGACCCCCCCCCCCCAAGAACCAAGAATACAGAGCATCACTTGCCCCAGACTGAGAGTTCCTAGTGGCTAATAGCCATCGATGGACCTCTGCTCCATATGCTTATTTAATTCCCTCTTGAAGCCGTCCATGCTTGTAGCCGCCGCCACCTCCTGTGGCAGTGAATTCCATGTGTTCATCACTCTTTGGGTGAAGAAGGACTTCCTTTTATCCGTTCTAACCTGACCGCTCAGCAGTTTCATGGAGTGCCCACGAGTTCTTGTATTGTGAGAAAGGGAGAAAAGTACCTCCTTCTCTACCTGCTCTTTCCCATGCATAATCTTATAAACCTCAATCATGTCACCCCTTAGCCATTGTTTCTCCAAGCTAAAGAGCCCCAAGCGCTTTAACCTTTCTTCATAGGGAAAGTGTTCCAACCCTTTTATCATTCTAGTTGTCCTTTTCTGCACTTTTTCCAAAGCTATAATATCGTTTTTAAGGTGTGGTGACCAGAACTGTACACAGTATTCCAAATGAGGTCGCACCATTGATTTATATAGGGGCATTATGAAATTGCTGAGTGGTCGGGTTAGAACGGATAAAAGGAATTCCTTCTTCACCCAAAGAGTGATTAACACATGGAATTCACTGCCACAGGAAGTGGTGACGGCTAAAAGCATGGACGGCTTCAAAAGGGAATTAGATAGGCATATGGAGCAGAGGTCCATCAGTGGCTATTAGCCACAAGGTATAGATAGGGGCTCTGGGGCAAGTGATGCTCTGTCTTCTTGGTGCTTGGGGGGGGGTCAACATGGGAGGGCTTCTAATGTCCTGGCCCCACTGCTGGACCTCCTGATGGCACTGGTATTTCTGGCCACTGTGTGACACAGAGTGTTGGACTGGATGGGCCTTTGGCCTGATCCAACATTGGCGTCTCTTATGTTCTTATGTTACGTTCTTAAAATGAACATGTCATCACTCTCGTTTCCTCTCCCTTCTTCCCTCCAACTCTTGCCCTCGTCAGCTCCCCGGCATATCTCTACCGTCTGATGGCCGTCGTGGTTCACCACGGGGACATGCATTCGGGACACTTTGTGACGTACCGCCGCTCCCCGCCTTCTTCCAGAAACCCGCTGGCCGCCAGCAACCAGTGGCTGTGGATTTCAGACGACATCGTGCGCAAAAGCACTTTGCAGGAGGTCCTCGCGTCCAGCGCCTACCTGCTCTTTTACGAGCGCATCCAGTCCAGGCTGCAGCAGCAGCAGCAGAGCAAGGAGCTCCGGGCCGAGGAGTGAGAGAAGCGGAACAGAGGCCCCGCTGACGGGCTCCTCTGAGGATGCTGCTGCTCCAGGTGGTCCCCTCCCAGGCCTCAAGCAGCAATCGTCGGCTCCCGCCACCCAAAATCTGTGCACTAACCTCGTGCTCTTCCACATGCGTGTCGGCATTAGAGAAGCGTTCCCGTGTGTTGGTAGAGCTCTCCACTGGTGAATTCCACACAGCAGCTTCCCCAGGCTACAGTTCTGATTTTTTTTACCTCTCTTGCTTGTATTGTGATGGAACTTGTATCAGGCCTTGGTGGCGGCGAGAAGAAGATGCACCTTTTTGACCGTGCCGCGCCCTCTCGGAAAAGAGGGATGCGGAGCGCCTCTCCGTCCCCATAGAACTGCCTTAGAGGAATGCTCCGCAGTCCCAGATGTGGTGCAGCAACTGGTTCGTCGGTTGCACAGAGGCAGCGCTGAACACAGCAGCACTCTGTGGCCAAGAGGTCCTGGGAGGGCCAGACCACACTTTCTTCTCCTGAGCCTGCCTCTTCTCACTCTCCCCCACCATCCTCTGCTGCTGCGGCTTCCCTTTTGTTACCCCCCCCCCAAACGGCTCTGTCATGTCCGTCTGTCCTGCTGGCTCTGCGCCGGCTGATCAGCCCCGGGCAGTTTTATTGGAGCAGGTGAGGTGTGCCGGAGGGGTGGAGCTTCCGTTGGCTCTGGCGCATTTCCCCACCAGACCACCTCCTGGAAGCTGCGGCTCACCTCGGCCGGGTTTTCAAGGCACGCCCCTCATGCGAACCTCACCTGTTCCCAGCAGGAAAGACCAGGAGGATGCCCGTTGGCTTCCAGGGGCAGAGTAATCCTCCCCCCTCCCCCCCC